CAGGGGAGGCCTATCAAGGGGACCTACCCCCGTCACCGGTGCCGGTATACGGCCCTCTGCGAGCAGGCGTTCATGAAACCGCTCAGCATATGTAGGCTGATCGTCAGGGCGCGCACACTGCGGCTCAACGACAAGGATGCACTCATTGTCCTCCGGTCCGTCTGTGCGGACGGCATCGACGAAGGACTTCGTGAGCTCCTCAACCTCCTGGACTATGCCAGGGGTGCGGTGCAAACACTTGGGGCACTGCCCTCTGCACGCTTTGGTTCCCATGAACGGCCAACTGTTCGCTGCACTCATGTGAGTGAGGCTGACGGAACAATCCGGCACGAGCTCCAAAAGTGTCGCATGGGTAAGGATACCCGCCGCAACAGATCTATGTCTGTTGGCCTTGCAAACAACATGCACGGCAATGGACCGAATCCCAGCCTCCTTGGCGTCGAGAATGTTCGCCAAGATGTGCCTGACGTGGGCAATCAAATTGGGATGGTCTGCGTGCTCCCGAATTATATCGGGGTTTGACCCAACATGCTTTGTGCGGTCGCGCTGTTCATCATTGCGCTGTTGGGCTTCTGCAGGCGTCAGATCGTCTTTGCGATCGTCTTTTAGCCACACCATGTCCAACATCACCAGCATATAGCTGGTGGCAGAAGCATACGCCGTGGTTGCATGCGTTTCCATCTCTTCGTGCTGTGCGAAGAGCTCGGCTGCTGTCCACTTCCCTCTGACGCGTTGCAGCCAGGCATGGTGCTCGAAGCCCCAGGTAAAAACATCAATAATGATGTCTGGGTTCGCTATGTCCCCCGCATAATACGGCTGCAAAGCCAAATCCGGATTATACACGGATGCAGGGAGAGGCGTGTCGAGCTCCGGACCGTATGGTCCCCCACCTGGCATTATAACCAGGTTCCTGCCATGCGGATCCTTCTTCACAACCGCATCAAACTCGGCCAGCTCGCGGTGCCCTCTTGCGATTTCCTTCGGGTGCACTGTGGCACGAGCTGCAGGCGGAATTCCTGGGCTATCCCCAGGCCTGGCCTTCTCCGTGGGAGGAGCCTTCTTAGGCAGTGCACCTCCAGGTGGCGCCTTAGGCGGAGGTCGAAAGTGCCTCTTGACGCCGGTGCGGCACTGTGGCCGACCGCTGGTGACTTCGCCATGGCACTGTGGCCAGGCTCCGGCGCTGCAAGAACCTTCGGTGCAGCCTTCGCCGTTGGAGGCGCCTTCTTAGGCAGTTGCCCCTCTGCTGCAGCCATCGCGGTGGGCTCCGTGTCTCCTACGGACGTGCCTACCATGCAATGGTTCGGAAACGCTACGCTTATACGTCGCTTGGTATTGTTGCGATTCTCAGCTGACGTCGTAAAGCTGTGACCGTGGCCTACGCCTACAGTGCTATGACCATGGCCTGCACCTACAGTACTGTGACTGCGACTTGTTGCCGCTGCATCATCTGTCGCTGCTGCGTCTCGGGGTGATCCGCTCACAGACTCTGAGTGAGCTAATGCGGCAGCGGCGGCAGACCTAAATATAGGAACTGGCGGCGAGGGGATTTGGAAGCTCTTTATGAGACGGGGTTGTTTAACCTGGGTCAGGCCTTCTGTTATGTTTATTAATGCATAACAGCCCTGAGTCATGTGTCCGACACAGCTTGATCCTAATGATGGTATCCTCTGAAGGAAGTCGAACACCACACACACCAAACCGTAAATCTTTGGTTATACCAAGCTGGGCCTGCGCATAAAGGGACAAGAGGAGAGGGGCTGTACCCTTAATCTCATGCGAATCAAGGACGCCCGGAACTCTCAAGTCCTGCTCCAATCCCATTATAGAGAAAGGTATGGTCCTGCTACCCAAGGTCTCGGTAGCGCCGCTAAGACCCTTGAAGGTACGGTTGCCCTCAGGTTTAAATCTCGTGCTGTAACCGAAGTTCGCAAGTTTCCCCGCCGCGTTTGCTATCCAATCGCTACCGTGAACAGTCGAGTTGCAGCCCTCGTCTAACACGGCGTATACGTGCTTATCCTCGTAGATATTTACTACGGGCAAATCAACCAAAGCCGGATGGATATCTGTGACCCCCTCGGTAAAAGCCACGAAGGCGTGCCTCGTCGCGGAGGCCCTCGAAGAGCGCGATCTCGCCGACGCCACTTCCCAACTGTTGTTGGTCGATGGCGCTGAGTGATCGTCTAAGGCCTCTTGCAGGTATGCGAGAAGGTCACCGCGGGATATCACGGGCTCGGTTACAAAGTGACCCTCTATGGTCTCTTGAAACTGGGCAATAGCCGGAACTACTACCTCTACGGGGAGGCTATCCCCCGTGCTGCCGACTATGCTGCGCAGAAGATCGAAGTCCAGGGTGTTGGACTCCCGCAGCACTGTGGCTGCGTCATCCCTAGCCTTTCGCTCGGTCTGCGGCTGCTCATCTAGAAGCATCCCACAAAGCTTGCACTTAATGCGGGAGGTCTTCCTGCTGCTACCCGACCTCTCGGTGGAGGTGTGGGGGCATGTGGCCTGATCTATGACAGGCTTCTCTTTCTTTGTCTTGGTGACGGTGCCGCATTTCTTACAGGTCCGCATGTCTATGTATGCGTTACTCCCCGACTTGTTGAACTCCTTGCAACCTCCCCGGCATTTCCGGGGGCCTTCGCTGGACGAAGCAGCTGACGCAGCGAGGCGAACCTCGGGCTGGAAGGGTTCAGGCGGGGGTTCCTGGCTGAGAGGGATATCCCTTCTCGTGATGCTAATGGGGTTATCATCACGCACATCAAAGTACTCCGTGACCCAATCCAAGAAATCGGCCAAATTTATGGATGGGCACTTCTGCGTGCGTCCCCAAAGAACATACCCAGGAAACGTATACAAGACACGCTCATAAGTCAGACCCTTATGCTGGCCAAAGGAGAAAACACGATCGGAACCCTCAGGCGGGCTGTCACGCATGATCCTAGCGGCGGCTGTGCGCCGAAGCTGTGGTGAGAAGAGGGTTTCACTGCCGCGGCCTTTACCGGTGTTGGTCTTTGAGGGAGTCAGCTCAAGGTTGGCTGGGTAACCCTCGAGCCTACCAGCGCTCGCATTCGACAGATGGACACACTCTGTGTCATCCTCCTCCACTGCGGCGAAATACGCCTGAGGCTTCGGCGCCGCCGACTTTGCGGCTGCATTGGCAGTTCCCCCAGACTGTGCTGGGGTTGCAGTAACCTTGGGGCCATTGCCCTTACCGCTAAACTTGCAGGCAGCATCTCCGGCCCAATGGCCGATCACACCACACTTCAGGCACCTACTCTTTGCCTTAAGCTCTGCTAACTTGGCCTTGCGGTCAGCAATGGTCAGATTGCTACGCACGACCTTCCCTCCGGATTTTCCGGGGGACTTGCCCTTGTTCTTCCCCTTTCCTTTTCCTTTCGCCTGGGCAAATGCGGTCTGTGCCGCGTACGCAAGCTGAACTGACTCGGCGTAGGAATCATCCAAATCATCAATTTCAGCTTCATATGCCACCGCCGTATAGGCGTTGAGTTGCAATGCTAGATCCTCATCATCAATCCATTCATCCGCATCGTCTCCCCCAGACGCTGTGGCCTGGTATGCTTCTTCGCCGTAGCCGTCACCGTAGCCTTCCGCGGATTCCTGTTGTTCCTGGTGACCATACTCTGCGGCACTACCATCATACCCCATATAGCCGAACTTAGGGTATTGGGGCTTAGCGTCGAAACGTCTCCAGGTCTTACCCGGGCCACTAGGGTCCTTCTGGGTAAGAAGACGTTCCTTCATGTGCACCACTGAGTGATGCTGAACAAGGACGCGTGCGTACTCATCCACGCTGTGTACGCGGGCGGCGGTCTTGACCATTAGCTGCTCGGACCTTTCCAACCCTGAAAGCTCAACAAGGAGATTAGCCCTCATTGCTTCAGAAAGGCGGATATCAGGATCCAGCTCACGCAAGGTCGACCACCACCGCTTTCGGCGGGCTATGTAAGACAACATAGGCTCGCCAGGTTGCTTTGCAAGTGGGCCCGTCAGGAGCTGTCCCTGACGGAAGAGTTCGGACGCCTCTTCGGATTGAAGAGGGAAGGCTTGCCTCCTGATTTCTTCTATCAGGTAGTCGACGCCGTCATGGCGAAGCAGACGTTCCAGGCCGACGTCGCGAGCGATGCAAAAGGCATCTCCTCGGAGACCCTCTATAGGATCTTGCTAACGCACTCGCTCATGTCGAGCGACTCGTCCTTGACGTCTTGCAAGGTGTACACCGCCGGATCTGTGTCCGGCTCTTGCTCGTCGTCGCCCGCCACTTGACTGGGGTGCGACGGTAGCGACTCCGCATCCTCTTCTTCTGCCTCGGACACGGGCTTAGTCCGTTTTGCGCTGGACGGACTGGCGGGTATACCGCTGCTCGCATCGCCCTCTGTGGGGGATGCACTGGTCCCTTGACTGGCCCTGCCACGCCACTTCCTTGGTGACTCGCTCTTGGACCTTGCTGACTCGGCAAAACGCAGGTCCTTCAGAGCTTCTCGCCGCTGCTTCTCCTTATGCTGCAGCACACGGATCTGTGTCCGGAAGCACCAATCGTGGAAGCCAGCAGCCGACCCGTCGTATATGTACGAGCCGCTTTTGGTTTCTGCAGGGCTCAAGTTCTGTGACCAGAGATTGGGCTGGTAACGCAAACCTGCCACGCTCATGGCTTCGAGGATAGAAGGGGCCTTTGCGCCGCGACTATCACTACTCTACCCAACGGACCCCGGACCTCAGGCTCAACGGGGGTGAAACACTAGTGGTTGTCCTCACAGCTCCGCTACAAGTTTGAAGCAGGAACTGGATTAGTGAGTGTCCAACCACACAACGAGCACACTTTTTGGTCTGAGCCCAAGACGTCTGTCGTACAGGGTGCATTCAGAACTGAACATGAAAACTACGCTCGCATGAGGACATGTCAACACGGCTCTTCAAGACAGGGAAATTTCACAACCCTAAACCCCCACACCCTGGACCCTTTGGGAAAAGCCCGAAGGTTCCTGGAGCAGCTGTGACTGTGTGGACCGCTGGAGAGAGGCTGAGGACGCCGGCGCGGGGGTGGGCACCTCAGGGCTTGGGGAACTTTAGGGCTTTTTGGGCTGGTTTTGGGGGGGTTTAGGTGTTTAGGTTTTGGGGTTTTTAGGGGTTTAGGGTGTAGTATTTAGAGTTGAGGGGCTTCGGGTTGAGGCTTTTGGGCTGAGGGTTTCTTTGAGGGGTCTATGAGAGTAGTATTTTGGGATTAGGCCTCAGCGGATGGGGGAAGCATATAAGCCTGTCAGGCTCCTTTCAGGGGGATCCTTTGGGGGATCAGAGCTCCTTTAAGGGTTGTTGTTCGGGGGATCCTTCGAGGGTTTCATTAAAAGATCCTTCAAGGGATCCCAAAAAGTGCTGCATGTAGGGTTTAGGGGGGATCCTTTAGGCCATCTATGAGGGTGCTAAAAGGCCTCAGGGTTTCGAGCTCCTTTAAGAGCTGCAAAGGTTACTACGAGAGGTAGTTTAAGGAGTCCTTTAAGCCTTGAAGGGATCTGTAAGGGTACCTTGAGGGCTTTGGGTTTAAGGGCTTAGGGTTTGGGTTGAGGGTTTAGGGGTCAGAGGGTTCGTAGGGATGTGGAGCTTACAGGGGCTAGGGCTTTCGGTTTGGCTCCGCGGTGGTTTTTGTATCTAGGGCGAAGGTTTGTTCATAAGGCTTTAAGGAATTGGGCGGCTTTGTATAAAGGTTTATCGACCTTTATAAGGGCTCTTGGGATATTGATTCGGGTTTAGGTTTTGCAAAGCTTTACGGTCGGCTTTTTTTACGTCGCCACCACCATGTCTTTCCAGGCATCCCCGTAAGCAGCAATTAGCCGTGTTCCCGGAGGTTCCATACATAATTGCCACCTTTCTGGAATTAGGTCCCAAAAGACCATCCTTTTTGTGCTGTACAATTCCAGGTTAGAACATATGGAGCCTTTGGGGTTGGGTTTGTGCAGTTGTAAACTTCGTCGTACAGGCGTTTCTGCTGTGGACACACGGGAAAAGCAAAGGGGCTACTGGCAAACGATGGCGGGCGCAGGTTTCTTTAGGGCTTTTCCAAGGCTCCAAACAGGGCTGACGGCTTATCACAAAGAGGGGCCTTGCAATGGGATAAAACATCTTGAACCCTAAATTCGTCCCAAATCCAATACCCTGACGCCCCACTCCCTCGTATAATGCCCCCAGAACTTACCCTTCTCGAACGCGTGCCTGCGAAGGCATCTGTGTGGCAGCCTGCAAAGCGTGGGCGGCGACTCCCCTTAGACTCTAAGCCTAAACCTAGAGTAAACAATCGAGAATCTGTCCACAACCGGAAACCGACAGCGCTTTGACGGGGGGAGACTATCCGACAAGATTTTCGCAGTGCTCAAATTCAAACATCTCGCGCAATCGCATCTGTTTTCATGCTACGGAAGCCTACCCCTAGTGCCCTAAACCCTACAAGTACTATAAGCCCTTTAGACCCTGAAACCCCAGAAAGCCACATAAACTGTCGACAGCCCTGTAAACCCAGCACCAAAATCCCTACAAGCACTCAACCCACAAAAAGAACAAAGGAAATCCAAGAAGCTTGAACCTACAAGGAAACAATCCTTGAAACTCTAGACCGTACACACCCCTAATATCGGGACCTTGATCGTTGCAAAAGGGTTGTTGAATATGTTATGGCGGAGTTGATGAGGAGCCAGAAGCACTTGCATTAATTTAGCATGTCATAGTACTTTTGCCAATTCTTATGCTATCCTAGGTTGGCCCTGGAAAGCACTGTTGACAAGCATTCGTACATGTAGGGTAAAGATAAAATGTCCAAAAAGCCTACCTCGAAACCCTTAACCCTAAACCCGAAACCTTCAACCTAAACCTCAACCTTTTGCCGTCAACCCTAAACCCCAAAGCGTCGACCCTAAACCTTAAAAGGGCCTCGGCTTGTGGCGGCACCTCGCGCAGGCGCTGAGTTGCCATTTTCCGAAGATCGGCCTGCGATGGAGTTGTCGATGGGGCTTCTATTACTAGGTGGGGCTTTTAACGCCTTCGAAACACATTGGTAAATACTATCCTCTTAAGCCCAATAAGAGCAAACATAAGATGTCCCAAAGCCCTACCTAGAGTAAGGATTAAGGGGCTTAGGGTTCATGGCTTCACGATTCAGGGGTTTAGGTCTGTAGGGTTTAGGGATTAACTATGGCCTTAGGAGTTTCGGGTTAGGTCTTAGAGGTGTAGGGTTTCGGCTTCTGGGGCTTTTGTTGAATATCAGAGTTTTATCCGGGCTGTTGAGGAATTTATAAGGCTTTCACATGGGTTTTTGGGTTTCGTGAGTGGTTCTTCGGGGGTTTGTAGGCGCACTTAGGGTTTGTTTGAGTTCGATATACACTGGGATCTCATTTGATCTTGCTAGCGGTCCTGTGTAAAGCAGTCAATTTTGTGCTTGGAGTACTTGACACTTGTACATGGAATCCTGAGAACATTTTCACGGGCTGTATGGTAAAGAATGCTGCCGACGATCATGCATTGATCAGGATTTATGCCGTTCAATATGTCCGCTGTCATGTAAAGGGGTCGAACTCTTCACGGGATTCATGCAGCTCGTACACGGTCGCTCAGCATTTGGAGCACGAGCACAAAATCGCACGCTACCATAACAATCTTCGATAGTGCTGTGTCACGTTCAACGACGAGGGCATTTATGTGACACAGATCCGCAACACTGAAGCTCCCCGTCGGCAAGATTCGGAAACCCGGCTAGTAAATCTTTGCGCCGACTATCCCTTACCATCCCCCGTATAGTGACCCTTCCTCAGACTGCCCCTTGCCTACAGAAGTTTAGGCACGGGACCCGTGCACCATCCCTTACCATGCCCCTTGTAGCAACCCTTTTAAAACTATGCCTTACCATATAGGGGCTCCTTTTAAAGGTTCTAGAAGGGATCTATAGGGGTTTAGGGTTCAGGGTCTACTTGGATTACTTGGGTTACACATAAGGTAACTATACTTATAACTCCAATTAGGGTACTTATAACCTAACTTACTAAGTCCCATGATCCTCCAAGTATGCCTTACCATACCCTGTGTAGTAGCCCTTGTAAGGGTCGTCTTCAGATTCCGCAGCGCAAGAGACACGCCCGCCTGCTCCAGAAGCTTCGTTCGAGGCACCCTCAGCTGAGAGCTGTCGGGGGGGGGGGCCGGGGGGTTGCAGGATGTAGGTAGTGGTTTAGGGCTTAGGGCTAAGGAGTTTAGAGGTTGCAGGTGTGGGGTTTAGGGGATTATGTAGGGCGTAGAAGCCATGACAGCCATGATGCACAGCATTCTGCTGATAAAAAAAAAGCTTGTCCAACGAGTCGTTGAGTCAGAGCACGACATCTACTCTTTTTCGGGGAGGCGGTGCCTCTTTCGTTATCCTGAGGTCGTGTCCAAACCCAGCGACCGCGAGGAACCTTCGATGGTGGAACGCCTCGGCAAAGAATGCAGCAGATGATAGGTCAGGCTCCAATGCAGAATTCGGATAAGGGTTCAGGGTGGGGTTTATGATGTCAAAAAGGGTGTTCTGGCTTTTGGTGAACTCCGCGGTCAGGATCACGGCCTCCAAGAGCGAGGCCTTGAGCTTCGAGGCAACACAGACATCGGGTTGGGGTCTGGCCAGTCGCAGGTAAACCAAGACCTGTATCTACCGTCGCCCATTTTTTTGGAGGCTTGTAGAAGTGATAGGGACTCTACAAACAAGTAGGGCTTTGCTAGTGCAAGGGAGACATGAGACCCCACTACTCCGCCACCAGCTGTCGAACAAGAGTAGAAACAGGAGTGAATGCCACTCCCAGTCCGCACTCAAGCAAAGCTCCTACATTGATGGGTTCATGATACTATGACACAATCAATCAGTGTTCTGTTTCTGGTGAAGCACAGATTCAAGTGTGTCTGGATGATCCGAAGTGTTGGAGGTCAGAGCTTGCAACAACCTGGATGGTCACTTGGATGGTTTATGGGGCTGAAAGCGGTATCAGCGGCTGCATGAAGCGACGCTGCATCTTCGAATCTGCAAGCTCGAGAGCGAGACCAAAATTGCCTTGAGTCTCTAGTTGTAGTCGTCATTGTAGTTTTGTTTCTTGGTTAACCTGTCTCCATACTATAATACCGGTACCATAAAGTTTACTAGCCGAAACAAGATTCACAATGGAGACTACCAGCAAGCCCCAAGCCCCAAAGAGACCGCAGAGGGAAAGCCCACACTGCAGGGCGGGTTTGTACAGGGTATGTTCTAGCATTTTTCATAAGAAGGAGCTATAAGGAAAAATATTAACAACTCTGCATGCTTCTTTGGCAACGTCTGCCGCTCGACTGAGGCACGCACGGGGCGCTTGGTAGACAACGGAAGGCGGTTGAACCAACACTGGCGGCACTGGAGGGGTGACCTGCGCTATCCAAAAGCATATGCTACTACAAGAAAACATTGCGTCGACGCAACCAACTATACTTCATGCCGACTTCATGTTCCGAGTAGAAGTGCAAGCCAGGCTTTCCTGGCCTACTCTTGATGAAGTGCGGGCGCACAAAATGGACCAAGGCAGGTTAGGGTTTGGAGTTCAGGGTTTACTAAACCCTAACCGTAACCCCTAAACCCCAAATACAGGGTTTACCTGTTGCCTTTCGGAGACTTTGGGCGATCTTCAGGAATCTGTGTGGCGAGGGACACTAATGTAGGGGTCGGAATAACTACCAATAGTACTCCGTACTCTCTTCTAGTCCCGAGAAGAAGTATGTAAAATCATAAGTCCAATTCTTCAAGGCCGCGAAATTGACCTTCACTTATGCAGTCACCCATCTGTCATCAACCCGGAATCAGCGAAATCCTGCACCGCTTCGCCTTGTGCACAGGGGCTTGCAGCGCCATCTGCCTCTCCAAAACCAAGGCCTCAGTGTATCTACACAGAGTTTAGCAGGAGGGGGGGATGTCTGAATCCGATAGGGGTTCCTTTAAACGGGCTCCATATAAGGGTTACTAATACTAACAGGGATACCATAACCAGATGCCTCTGTGCCAGAAGCACTTTTAAGCAAGCATGGCATGAGCACGTCTGAAGATATCAAGCTAAGGCTTCCTCTCAAGAACCCAGATATCGCATTCAATTCGAATAGGCTCCCTAATATGATGTAAGGTATATTCCTTAAGTCAGGGATCTTGCCCCGAAAGGATCAACCAAACTGGACATTCTGGCTCGGCGTCATGGTCGAGAGCTCTTCAAACCTCGAAGCGGTCAGGTTGAAACGAACCCCTGACCAAACACCGGAAAGTATACCAATGAGGGGATGACCTAAGAGACGTGTCGACTGAGCCATAGTGCGAATCGTACCGCACACACTGGGAGCAGAGCCCCTGAGGCTTGAGCGAGTATATTGGCGCTTGGAGCGATAGTGCGCCAAACGTCTAGCCGTCTAATGGTTTAGGGCTTAGGGTTTAGTGGTCTAGGCTAAGCAATGCTAAACAAGTTGTTTCCATAATATAGGAAGGAGAACCTCCGAAATTGTCTATAGTCTTCATGCCACTCGATGCCAGTTCACCAGAGCGCACTGGGAATCTCACGCGCAGCTGGTCCGGAGTAAGTACGACGTCAACCTGACTGCCCAAAGGCCGTCGAGATACTCGTTCGATGTTCGGGGTTTTCGGAGACTACGAAACCATGGAGGGACTTCCCAGAGGAGAGAACTGACTGCCTGCAGGCTGATGCTGCTGCCGATCTTGAATGCAGACACAGACAAACCTTTTATCCGGCAGTGCGAACTGGACGAACGACTGTGGTAGGATGCTTCAATCGCCACAAAAGTGAGACCCACAGCAATGCTGCAGTGCGCTTGGGGCAGCAGCCATCTCATGATCGAGAGCTAGACCTCTGTTGATTCCCATTTCGCAGGCCTTGCCATCGTTGTTGAGGTCAATTCCCACAGGCGTCCTGCTCTTTGCTGCGGCATGCGATAGGTACAAGAAGTAACTATACAAGCTGCCATGGATGCAACATCCCTGTGGCAACCGCCAACAACATCGGCCTCCGACAAGCTGCGGACGCGGGAACGCATGAAGCCACTGATACCATGGAGGAAGCTGTTGATGGCTAGAACATGAGCATCCCGGTAGTGCACAGAAGGGCACACCCCCCTCCCAAACAAAGCAGCACCCACTACGGGCTCCTCAGTGGCTCATCTTCCTTCCGCCGGGATTGCTGAGGCTTCTGAGGTGCCTCAGATAAGATGAAAAGGGGTACTTAAAGGTAAGTATACTTCTGACTAAGCACAGTTCAGGCACTTATAACCTTACTTGCTAAGTCCCATGAACCTAAACCCCAAACCCGAAAACCCTAAACCAGGTAGAGGCTGATCTAGGCTCCGGGCCTCAATCTCCACCCCTCTGACCCTGGCCCTTGAACCCTGAGCCCAGAAGTCTCGAAACCTCGAAAACCGGGCCCTTTGAAAGTTAATCGGTAGAAGAAGGCTTCGTTCAGGTTTTAAGGTTTTTACAAAGGTTCCTATAAAACTTAGCATAGGACTGAATATGCGAGCCTTTGGAACTTAGAAAAGGATTGAATAAGCTGGCGGTAGATGAACCCCCAAGAAAAAGTGTTGCTAACTACTCAGGCCCCTCGAAGTCTGATATATGTGTACTTAGTCCAAAAAGTACCAAATCCACTGCCTTGTGACATGTCGAACCCCACCCTAAGGCCCCAAAGTAGTTCCTTTCTGGGGTCATGCTTAGAATCCTATAAGGTATCCCCAAAAAAGAACTACTTTGGGGCCTGTGGCTAGACCCTAAACCCGAAACCCCAAACCGTAGACCCTGGCCCGTGAACTCGGCTGTCTGAGCTCCCTGCCACAACTTCCTCAGCCTTCGCCTCTTCGCAATCACCTGCTTCATCTGGGTGGTACTCAATATTAGGGTCCCTTTTTGGGTCCCTGATATAATTCTGCACTTAATATTTAGGGTACCCTAAAAAGGGACCCTAATTCTGACAACCACCCGTCTAGACCTAAGAGTAACCTAGGAATAAAAAGGGTGCCCCTGTTTGGTTTAAGGTTTAAAGGGGATTATAAGGGAACCTCAACCCTACAAAAGGGAATAAGGGCTTACTCTGCTTCATACAGCGGCGAATTGTGTGGAAGGCTGGGCTCCTGGGGCTTTAAACCCCAGAACCCGAAAGCCCAAACCCTACAAACCCTAAGCCCTAAAACCCAACCCTCTAAAACCCCTGAAACTTGTGAGGACATGGCTCTACAACAAAGGTGCCCTGGGAGGCCATGCAGACAGACTGCCTTGGTCGAGAGGGGGTTTGGGGGGTTACCTTTTACTGATTATTCTTTAGGGTTTAGGGTTTTTGGGGTTTAGGGTTTTCCTGATTATACTACTCGGGAATAATATGCCGAAATACACGGAACCTTGTGCTATCCTCGAGCATGTCGCGGTCGCAATGTAGGAACCTGGTTAAGAAATCCTTGGCCCCAAATAGTAGGATTCACATAAGGAGCCCTTTTCAAGGCCCAAGGTTTCTTAATCACGTTCCTGCATCAAACCCCCAAAACCTTTATGGAACTCTTCTGGCACCCTAATAAAAGGCCCAAGGTTTCTTAATCAGGTTCCTACATTGTTATAATACCCCTATAGATCCCTTATAGTAACCCTTATAGCCCCCTTTAAATGAACCCTAATAATCAGGTCCCACATTAGGTCACTTCTGCGACTCCCTCGGTGCCGGGCCTGCAAAGAGCGCCCAGAAGGACATGGTCAGGTCTGGAAAGGGATGACGGCAAAGCAACCCCAAAAGGGTCCTGGTGCTGTCATGGGGATACTGTCCCAAATCATGATAAGTAATAATGTGTAAATAAATGAATAAATGAATAAATAAATAAATAAATAAATAAATATATATATATATATATGTGCATATGGACCTTTCTATAGTTTTGGGGGTACTGTCCCAAATCATAATTAACAGCATTCTTACTATAGGAACCCTAACATTCTAATTACTATATAGGTGCCTTTAGGACCCTTCGGGCATTTAACCTTCTGCTTTATCGTGCGGTCTACCGTGGCTTGCCGGCTACAGGGTGAACAGTGCGACTCTGCAAACAGAAACCGATCGCGCATAGATAGATCCCACAAGGGCTATAGCATAGCTGGTATGTTCTACTTTATTGCATCAGACGGTATTGATTAGTGCACAGCTGCTCTGAACACATGACAATTTGAGCTGGACCACCGGCACGAGACGCGAGAAGACTGTGATTTTAGGCTTCGCTCGGAAGATTTATGCCAGAGTTAGGGTTAAGGGGTTTAGGGGTTTAGGGTGTTGGGGTTAGGGCTTAGCGGTTAAGAGGTTTAGGGGGGGTTGACTGGCCAGAAGTCGTGTGGCAATCCTGGAAAACTACCTCTGCCTGAAGATAGTAATCACCAGGGCTGTTGTACCCGAAATGGAAGGTGCGACAGTGTCAGTCAGAAGACTCGCATGAACACCACAACCCTAATGCTGAAGGACGAGAGGGATGCAAGTCGGACGGCTGGGACACTCACGCATTCTAGCTACTAGAAACACGACGGTCATCACTGCCGGAGCCCAACGGTGATAATCTTTTCGGCGTCGTCACACGTGCAATAGTATGATACGCAAAAGGGCCGCCCATGACGGCGGCACAGGACACGAGCAGGCACACCTTGCAGGAAGCCCTGCGCCACGTTTCGTATTTACCAAGCTGCTTGAACATCCGGTTCCGTCCTCATGAAACCGATGCCCTAAACCCAAAAACCTTCTCCGACCCTATTGTTGCGACAAGGTGACGAGCAGATTCCCTGGGCTCTACAAGTGCGGGCCGTAATCAGATTCCTTTAAGTATTTCGTAGAGTCTTACAAGGCTTCATACAAACCGTATGACACGAATAGGATTCCTTGAAGGGTCTTGCGGGGTTTATCTTATGGGGTTGAGTTGTTTTTTTTGGACAATGGTTCTACAACAACTTTAAAGCGATGATTTTGCTATTGATTCCGACCCCTGCATTCGGGCTTTGCGCTCATGCTCTGTTTAGTCGGCATGGGAGCTGCAGACTCGAGATAGCTAACCATGTTCCAGGACCGAGGCGGTTTCTGCAAGGCTGTGCCGCACGTGCCGCGCGTTAAGCCGTTAAACATCGCACTCGCCTACTCCTGCGGGGCATCCGGATGGATCCCCTGGCGAGCAGTAGCCAGTAGCCTTTTGCAATGACTACTCCAAGCTCTACTCACGGAAGCACAGCGCCTGTTCTGTACTTGGTGATTAATGGCTCCAAACCATTGAGGCAATTTGACGAGTCTTCTGCAATGCAGTTTGTCTTATGACGTGCACATCTCGTTACTTATGCTGCTGGGCGCGTTCCAATGACTCGGAACTACAAACGATTCGACCGTGCAAAGCCAGACGCAGGGCAAACCATTTGAGCAAGATCTTGGATCTCTACAGTGCGGGCAAAGAGCGATGACACGATGCATGATAAAGTGGCCTTAATGATTAGAATGTGTTTTGGGGGGTACATTATACTTTTAGTTACAAGTAGTATTGGTAATTATTGAGGCCCCTACATTAGCAACCCCGAGCCGTATCCTGGCCCTCCACTGCATTCACCGGAAGCTGACTGCTCCAGAGATGGCTTGGATCGATATTGCTACTCACCTCGGGTGTCCCGGTTCTTAAACTCGCCGAACAGCACCGAACGATGTGGGAGCTTCCCAAAATAGGGGACCCTAATATAGTACCCTACATAGTAGGATCCTTTTTGTAAGAACACCGAAATCAGGTGCCGTAATTAACTCCCATGTGTTTCGATCAATTGTCAGTTACACTGCAGTACAATAGAGTTCTTCGTGTTCCCCGACCGGTGCACTTTCTCCGAGGGGTCCTGGTCGCCAGAGCCTCATAGCCTGTGTTTTCGGCCGGGAGGCGCATAATCTGTGTTTGACTAGATGCCCTCTGCCGTCAGGTATCGAAGGAGGGTGTGAACTCTGGCTGGCCTACTCATGGTCCCCTAGGCATTGCTGACTTCGCACCACGACCCTAGAAGAATTTGGCTTTTCCCGAACTCCTGAACAGTAACCTCTGCAACCCCCGTACCCTGTGCTATCCTTACACCCAGAACCCATCATTCCATACACCCTCGATCGAAGCATAGCAACGCTTGTGCCATAGGAAGCCTTATGGTATCCTTCGTTCTGCTTAGTAGTACTTGCAACTCCCCCAAACCCCTCAACTCTAAACCCAAAGCCCTAAGCCTTTAAACCTTCACCAATAAACCTTAAACAACTGAACCTGTAAACCCTAGACCCCTGCACCTGTAAACCCTAAAGCCAAAACCCCCAAACACTTAAGCCCCTAAACATACACCCCAATTCGCTAAACCCTAAACCCTAAACCATAAACCCCGAAGCCCCAAACGCCTACACCTCAAACCCCGAGACCCGAAACCTCTAAACCCCTAAACCCTACAAACTCTGCACGCCCTCCATCGAAACCCTGGCGGCCACCGACTCACCACGGCAGCCGTTTGCGCGCAATTAGACGCATGGCGCACCTGGGTAAAAGCCGAAAACAGGGGATTAGTGGTTCAGGGTCGAGGGTTTAGGATTCTCGGGCTTACAGGCTTCAGGGACTTAGGGGTTTAGTCTTGGTTGTAAGGTTTGGGGACTAAGAGGGGTTAGGGGTTTAGGGCCTGTGTCAGAGCTTGAAAAGAGCGAGAGATGCGCAAAGAGAGAGAGGGAGAGAATCCATCTGCCGGTGTACGAGTCGTGTTTCTCTCGCGGCCATGCAATAATAGCTGTCTCATCTTGTTTCGGCACAGTGGCACAGGAAGCATGGCCGGGGCTTGCATGCGCAACGCACCGGCGACGGAACAGGCAAGCTGGGACACTAAGGCTAACCTTTTCGGTTATGTAAGGATTATATAGGGACTATACTACCCAAAAAAGGTTTAAGGTTACCTACTCTACTACGAGGACCAAGTGACTCACGCAGCCCCCAGCAAGCCTCAAGAACCCAGAGATGAATCGCGACAAAATGCCCGGAAGTAAGCTTGTCAAGTGAGGTGCATGCCCTGAAGGAAGCAGACATAGGGCGCCTTGAGTTAATTTGTAACGCCATCCTCTTTGAGCACCTCCAGTGCCTGCCGCGCACAGGGAGAAAGAAGCTAATACGTGCATTGTTGCAATTTCTGCAAGCTTCCGTCTGCATACGCGTAAGACCCATCTGCCGACATAGTGAGCAATTGAGGAGTACGGATACAAGTGCTGGCAAATGGCCTGTTGAAGCAAAGTATGTCGCGAAGGTTTGCACAATTTGCATGGATGTTAAGACCCCATTTGTGCCTAGATGGCCTACTTGTCGGGTATCAAAGGTTAACCTTTTTTGTTCTACAGGGATTATATAGGGACTATACTACCCAAAAAAGGTTAAAGGCTACTGCTAGGATGGCGAGGAACCAGAGAAGGCTCGACATTCGTCACAAACGAAGCATACCGGTAGAAGGGAGATGATCAAGGGTAGCGGAGACAGATTCTTCACCGTGTGGCAAGATGTCTGCGAACACGATGCTGACAGAAACACAAACGCTCATTACTTCCAATAGAACAAAGAGGTTGAACATGGTGGAACGGGCGAAGCCCTCAGGGAATACATGGCTTTGTACGGACAGTAATCAGGAATCAGAAAGAGCCTGATGAACGGCACATTGCCAAACCAACCCACGAGACTACCTCCAGTGTGACGATGCCAGTTCAATGGACACGGTAAGAAAAAGCTATGTGCTGGAAATAAGCCGGACTCCTGGTCCGCAAACGGGGCCAAGCAGAACTTCTCTGCACGGATTCTGCGGCGAAGCTGTATCAGACCCAGAGGCTCCACATGTACTACCATTCTGGAACTAGGTCCCAAGAGACCATTCTTACTAATTCTTACTATGGTTTAAGAAGGGACCTAATTCCATAATGGTAGTACATCAATATCTGGAGCCTCTAGGAGACAAAGCGCACGGTGGCGTTGGGGGTTCTACGGTGCGACCTGGGAAGAAGCTAGGAGCTAGGATCAAAGGGACGGTCCCCTTTAGGGGTTTCCCTAATACTAATGTAGGAACCTGATTAAGAAACCCACGGCCTATAACCCCCAAATAGTAGGGTTCATATCAGGAACCGTTATAAAGGCCTAAGGTTTCTTAATCAGGTTCCTACATCAAAGCCCCAAAACCCTTATAGTACCCTTATAGAACCCTAGTAAAGGCCCTAAACCCTAAAGGAACCCTACTGCCCTGGAGACCTACAGGCCCAGCCTCCTCGACCCTTCGTTGCAACTCTTGCGGGTCTGTCAAGTTCATGACCAGTTCCTTAACAGGGTTTGGGGTTTAGGGTTTGGGGTTTAGGTGTTTAGGGGTTTAGGATTGGTTTAGGGTTTGGTATTTAGGGGTTTAGGGTCTAGGGTTTGGGCGTTTAGGATTTTGGGGGTGCAGAGTGCCACGCCATGCCGGCTATCGACTGCTGAAGCGCCGTGTCCGAGCATTGAGGTGCAGGCGTTCTGCGGGAGCTCAAGCAACATGCCTGTCAACCGGGATGAGCTGAAATGCCCTTCGACCCCAAGTTCAGTTCATCCTTCGAAAGCCAGCTTTTAAAACTTAAGAGGGATTGAAGGCTTCTTCCAAGTTGCAGGGGTTCGGAGTTCGGACCTCATGAGTGTCCTGTACTTATGAGTCTCTCCTGATATGGGGCCAAGC